GAGCCAGCCCCGACGGGCTCCCGCTTCGTGCAAGGACACCTCGGAGCCCCAAAAAGGACACCCTCCTCGGACAGCCTTGCGCGCCCGGGGTCGCCCCCCGCTCACAGCCGAGCCGCACGGCGCTGTCCCCCGTAGGGCACCCCGGAACAGAGCCAGGCGCCGGTGGGGCAGGACAACAGCACCGAGGCCAAAACTGCCCCCAAGCCAAGCAAGACCGGTCGCCCAAGCGGGCTCCAAGCAGGGTGGGACCAGGCTGCCAGCGGCCGTCCCGGCCCGGGTACCCCGCGCCCCCAGCCACGGCCCAGCACGGAAATCTCGCTTGGGCCGACGCCTCTGGGGGTCCCCCGCTCCTGCCCCAAACACAGCGGGGTCCAAACGCCCCCGCCTCCCAGGTGGAAAGGGACAGCACAGGCACCAGCCTGCGCTGGAGCCCAGCAAGGCAACTCCGAACAGAGACAGACAACCCAACAACCTTCTGCCAGCCGCTTTCCCCCTTGAGAAGGGAGGTCGTACACAGACAGCTAAACAGGGGGAGAGACTGAATCCCCGCCAGCTCCGATGCTGCTACACGAACCATGACAGCTCTCGCATGCTTGCAGCCAACGGCGCGCCCGTGTCCCCTCCCCGCTTCCCCCCGGCCCGGGCAGGAGATGCTCGCCGTTCACCCTGGGCGAGCTGCGGGCAACCGAAAGCGGCCGGGACCCGTGCAGGGCAGGGGGCAGGCGAGGGGAGAGCTGCCGGGCCCCGCCGAGTTGAGGCCGGGACTTCGGCCCGCTCCGCCGAGAGGCAGCAGAGCAGGTGCTCCCCTCCCCGGGGACAAGAGGCCGCGGGTTAACCGAGCCGGGATGCCGGGGAGCGGCCCTGGGGGAAGGCAGCGCTGCAGCCGGGGGGGCTCCCCTCCCTGTCTGACCTCCTCCCGGGGCGGAGCGGGTGGGCACAGCGCCGAAATGCAATGGGTTCGTTTGGTGACTCCCTCCCCCATCCCCTTCTAAGGTCCCCTCCCCGGTAAGATGCCCCTGCCCTTAGCAAAGCCGGGGCAGCGGGGGCCTGAAGGGGTCCCGGCGGAGCCCCCGGGCGGGGGACGGACCTACCTGAGGGCCGGGTACTGAAGTCCGGCCGCAGGTGAGCAGTAGACGCTGCAGTGCATTATTATGCCATAGACCAGGAGTGCTAGGATCGCTTTGCTACACATTGCCACTCTGTGCGGGAGGGAAAGGAAAACCGCTGTCAAAAAAAAAAAAAAAAAAAAAGGAAATTTAAAAAAAAAAAAAAAAAAAAAAAA